TATGTACATCTTACACTGCCTCAAGCTAGTGTACTTCAGAAGTAAAACTATTCCTATCACTAGGGGACACTGAATATTTATCCACATCTAGATTCCACTGCAGAAGAGACATTGGTATCTTTTACTTCTGGGAACATATGTACATTTGTGGTGCTAAAGTGGAGAAATTTTGAAAAGTGAATTCCACAAATGGTTTTGTTTTTCTAGTACACTGATTTTTAACAGCTTGATTGAAGTATAATGTACATATTCTAACATTCACCCACTGTAAGTGCACAAATCTGATGGTTTTTAGTAAATGTAGGTTGTGCCACCGTGAGCACAATCCAGTTTTAAGGCATTTCAGTCATTGACCATTACGATCATGGAAGTTTTGTCAGAGCAGAGTTGTTTTGTGAAAGCTGGTTCTGTGTTTAGTTAATAAACGTCACCACTAACTGTACTTGAGTCTGTACTGTATACCTGGGGTTTGTTTAAGAGAGAGGGAAGCCTCCGTGTCCTCCCATCCTCGCCTGTCAGCTGCCCATCCATCTGGAGAAAGGACCAGGACAATGCTGCTGGCACCGGTGCTGGGGAGCGGCCCCCGGGCGGGCCTCTGCTCTGGCCCCTCCTGGGGCCCGCACTCTTGCTCCGGGCCCGCTCCACCTCCCGTCACTGCCCCGGACCACGTGGAGATGGGGACCACTTGCAGATGGCTCAGGAAGCTCCAGGGCTGCTGTCTCCTGCATCCAGTCAGCTATCACCAGGACAGCGGAGAAGCCATCTGTGAGCCCTTGCCCAACCTAGCTGCCCAGACTTCTCCACTAGCCTAAACTCTTGGTGGACAGACACAACTTCTTGTTTTTGTACTCAGTGCTTGGTACAGTGCCTGAAACATTCATGCTTGTTGAATCAGACTCTAGCTTCCTAATAATTGTTAGTAATACGCCTAATCTGTTAGTTTTTTTTAAAATTTAAACATTTGTGAAGTCTTATCTAAAGGTGAATGTGAAGTGTTAACCTAACACAGGTCTATATTTTTTTCCTCTAGCTACCACATTCAGAATCTTTCCGAGTCAGATTAGATAAGTAACTTGGTTAAGAGCACCAGTTTAGTGGCTTGGATTAGAATTCAGGTTTGATTTCCTAGGTCCTGATTTCCTAGGTCCAGCTTTCTTAGACTGCTACATTGTAAGTGAAAGCCAAACAGTAGATTTGAGGCTGGGGGGTAGTGCACTAGTCTCAGCAGTTTTTTGACATTAACATTAGTTTGTCTGTTGCTGGGACTGTTTTGTGATGAATGAAGGGTATTGCTTCCTTATGTAGTACAATTTTAAACTTTACTGTGGTTTGTGGGTAAAGTTTATCATATCATAGTTGGTAGATTTTTTTCTTTTCGTTTTCTCACACCTTCTTCCTCCTGACCTCTCTCCGTTCATCCCTCCCTCCCCACCTTGGCACTCTCATACAATTGATGTAAGGTTGTGTTATCTAAGTAGATATAGATATAGTTTTATAAGAGGAGGGCACCTACAAATCGAGCATCCTACAAATCAAATGTTAACATGCTTACAATATATCCTCTTACTGTTGTAAAGAAACTCAGTCTCTTCAATGGAGGAAAACTCGTTAAAAAGTTACTAATGTAGCAATATCACACTCCCTAATGAAATTTATGATTTTTTTCAATTTAATTATAACTGCTATAGGAACTCAGAAGTGGGAGCAAAAGCATTTCTCTGAGTAGGTCAGCAAAGGTTGTGTTACTAAAGTAGAATCTGTACAAGTATCTTAAGAGTGATTAGAATTTGAGTAAGAGTGAAAACAAGTGATATGACATCATTCTATTCTGCTTTCCAATATCTAGAATTTAATTCTAGGCATCTAAGAGGTATTTGAATGAGTGGCTGTTTAGTGCAGTATTTTCTTTTTTCATTTCAAAGTAGAATCTGTTTAGGCACTAAACCCTCTGTCCTATAAAGAAGCTGTAATTTTCTCCATATGACGTGCAAAGGTGCTTTGTGGTCTGCTCTTGCTTACCCCACCAGCCTGATCCCAGTTCTCCTGTACCCCTTGTAGTTGGTTCCCCGAAGTGTCTGGGCTCTGCCTCCAGGGCCCTAGTATATTGCCTTCTGCCTGAGTCACTGCCCTTTCACTTGCCTTCTCCTCATCTTTTCAGGCTCAGATGAGGTGGAGGTGTCTTCTAGGAAACTTCTCTCAGTTGACCCTCCTAAATGCTGTCAGAGTATTCTGACTTTACATTATCCTGCTGCAGTTTTCAGTCTACTTGGTACTAGGTCAGAAATGTAAACTTGTTGTTTTCCATGAAGTGTCTCAATACATTTTTCAATAGAAATATTTGTTGACAAGGGCATTTCTTCAGAGTATAGATGAGGTCCTTTTTAGCTGATCAATAAATAAGCATCTAGCATGTTTATTAAACTAACTTCTGTGAATGGCTTTCAACTATTTTAACTGAGGATATGTTGTATCTACCTATTTAAGCATCTTGTTATACAATGAAGTTTGTTTAAGATTTTCCTGCATATTCTCTTGGTAGATCAGCCTGTCTCTAATACAGCTGCTTTGGTGGTATACGAGAGGAGGTATTTTTATATGTCTCATATTTTCATTCCTTTTATTCTTTTTCTGCTTTAGTTTCTGTCTCTTAGGTGCCTTTGCAAAGGTTTTATTTTTGTAATCATTTTGATAATGTCTTTTTATGGGTGGCTTTAATAATTTATATTTATTATTACTCAGACTGCTACCATTTCTGTACAGTTCTAGTTTTGTTCTTTGCCCTTTTTACTTTATTTTTGGGTGCCTGTTTTCTGTAAGATGATACATTTTGTTATTTTTCTCTTTTCCTCTGATCTTTTTTAATTCTGTAGATTATATTTCTATTTTCAGGTGCTTAAATTTTGCTAATTAGGTCTGGAGTGGTTCTGTACTTTTTCCTTTTAATTATATCAAAATTGTTAGCATGGTTAATTAGCACATAAGTAAAACATTCTCTTTTTAAACCTTCAAATGATAATTTTGAAATGGTTAATAACATTTTAACAACTTCAGTAATAACTTGTTTCTTGTATTCCTGAATCCTATCTCCGTCCCCTTTTCTTGATGAACTGTATCTTGAAAGAGCTCTTTTCACTGATCACTAATACTGGTAAACTTTCTTAGGCTTTATATGGCTATAAAGAATACTTTTATTTCATCCTGAGTGGTTTGGCTGCATATAAAATTCCAGACAGTTATTTTCCTCATCATGTGATGATATTACTTCATTGTCTTCTGACCTCTGTTGCAGCTGCTGAGAAGTGTGCTCTCAGTCTGTCATTCCATTGAGTGAGGTAACTGTTTTTTTCCTCTGATAGATGTTTAAATTGTGTTTTTATTGTTGATAGTGTGCAGTTTCCCTCCAATGTATCTAATATGGACTCAGGTTTATACAGTCTAATACTCCTTTTTTATGTTAATTTTTTTGTAAAGGTATAATGTGTATAAAATGTAAGCTCCCTTCATTTTTGTAGATCCATGTACCATGATGTTAACGCTTAGAGATTTAGAATGTTCCTAGAATGCCACAACACTTCCTTCTGCCTCCTCTGAGCCAGCACAACTATTCAGAACTCTTTCACTGTGAAGATGCCTGTCTCTTCTAGTTAGTTCTGGGAAGTTTTCGGCAGTTTCTTTGTATACTGCTTCTGCACCTGTCTTTCCAGTCTTCTTTTGGATATCATGTAGACCAGCATTGCAGCCTTTGTCTAGCCACCTAACTGCTTTTTCTTTTTAAAAATCTTTTTGTTTATTCATAGTTCCTAATAGTTGCTTAGTCCTAACTTAAAATATTCATCCACTGTGTTCAGTCTATAATGTATCTGATTGATTCTTTTTAGTTCATAACTTTTTGACTTTTTATTTCAAATTAGTTTTTCTTTCCTTTTTCCTTGATTTTATTTCATTTGTGTAGGTAATGATTATTTAAATATGTTTTCTTGTGCTTGTGATGGCTTTTACCTTCATTCCTATTTTTTTAATATTTTAAAGATATTTATATTAAAATCTTCTACAAGCTGTGCTAAATGAGTTGCTGTACTGAAATGCAGACTGTTCTGATTTTTGACTTTGTGGCTTGCTTTCTACGTTTGAGAGCTTTGTTTTATGGTTTATTTTTGAATGGATTTTTGCTGTGTTAATGTTTTTCCTTCTTCCCCTCTTACCTTCCTCCAATAACCTCTTTTTGCTGTGATTTGAGGTTAGTACCAACTGCAGTCCTGCAGAATGTGGCTTAACTGGGTTCCTCTTATTGAAAGAGTGATTTTATACAACCAGTTCCCAAACCCACAGTTTCTATCTTTGTCAATAACATTTGATTGCTTATTGGGCCAGCTTGATATTATGAATATACACCTGATGTATTCTAGCTTTAAGAGGAATCCGGTCTGAGACCCCTGGATCTAGGAGGCTCTTTGAGCTTCCTTTATTTCCTAGAAAAGTTCTGTACCCATCCCCTTCCCTCCACTGTGAACCTGCTTCTGCATCCAGAAACTCACTGTCTAGTGTAAATCCTGATCAGATTTTTGAGTTTTTCTGTCTTTTCTGTTACATACCATTTTGACTCATTATGCTTTTATTCATTTATGCTGTGTGGTAAGACAAGCATTTTGAACTTGACCTTAGATGCTAAGCAAAAGTGCTATCTATGTAGTAAGCTTCTCTTCATGGAATTAGTCAAAGTGTATTGAAAAGGAGGCTATATGAGGTTTGGAATGGATTTATCCCAGGGAGGTTATATCTTTATTGTTCTTGTCTCTAAAGGGTGATTTCATTTTAATATATGTTCAATAATAGCTTTTTCATTATAACAAATGTAACTTCAAAAATACCACAAAGCTTACACACACACACACACACTACTTGTTCTTACAAAGCAGAAATATCTACAGAATATTTTGTTATTTGTTTTCAGAAATTATTCAGATTTAAAAGAAAGAAGCAAACCCAGTGTTGTTTTGTAGGTGAAGCTGTGAGTGCTGGAGATGCACTGTGTGAAATCGAGACTGACAAGGCTGTGGTTACCTTAGACGCAGGCGATGACGGCATCTTGGCCAAAATAGTTGTAAGTGTTTCTGTTCTTTCCTAAATGTAGCTGTCCTTATGCAAAGGTATACTTTATTTACAGTGGGGCATTATCTATCACTTACGCATTTTTAATTCCAATGTCCAGATGTTTAACTCTCAAGGTCTAATAATAGGCTGTTTTTTCATATTAACTTCTAGAACATTTAATAGCGCATATGGTATCATAGCCAGGACTGTAAGCTCTTCAGTCACACTGCTGCTAAACTGATATTAAAACTTGTGCCAGTTAGTAGCTGTGTAATGAGTAGCAGATTCCTTTATCTTCATAGTAAAGTGAGAAGATTATAATGTCACAAGGTCACACATAAGTGCTTATCCTGACTGTAACCCACTAAGAGCTCAATAAACATCCCTAATCCCATCATTACGGTTGTTTGCTCAGCTATTGATGATCATTAGCTTCCCTGTCAGTCTCTATGACCATCTCATTCTTAATATTGATTGGCTGTGACTTGACAGTTAATGTCCATTGAGGTTATACAGTTTGATTTGTTCAGTAAGCCACATCTCTATTGGTGTCCTTTGTTAATAGGTTTTCATTCTAAGCTACCAACTTCCCTTTGCATTGAGCATGGATAGCACACTTTCCTATGTGCATGCTGTCCAAAAACCAAACTTTGGAATATTATACTATAATTGGATGTAGATTTTTTTTTAGCTTTTTTTCATTAGAAAATTGCCTTACCAATTTTCTTCTAGCCCCTTAACATTTTATTCCTGACACTGTAGTAGATTAGACACTCTTTACTTTCTATTATCCTAACAGCCAGATTGAGACACAGTATAATATAATCATCTTCCTTAAGGGAAATACGAATTGATGTTTAAATTTTTTTGTGACTTTGAAGTTGGAAAAATAAAAATATTTGTACCCAAAATAATTAAGGATAGTTTATGTAGTGTTTTGAAAAAGATTGCTTGAGTTACATTATGTAATAAGCCCAGTTCTAATTTCTTGTGTGCTTTTTGGCAGGCTCTTTCTTGGCTCTGGTTCTGGATTATTTGGGCTATGAAAGTTTTCCAGGACTGATAGCATTTTCCATTTGGCTGCTTAGCAGTGTATTTCAGTTTGCTAACCATGTCAGTGGGGCAGCAGTGCCTACTCATCCAACCCCTTATGCTCTGCAAGGGGAAGGTGTGCTCTCGGTGCTGCGTATTTGTCACAGCTGCCCTAAGGACACAGTTATTTTCTGAGCAAAGACAGCATGCATGTATATTTTAGACCTTTGTGGCTTTATTAATATGTTAATACTATAGAAATACATCTACATTAACCTGTGACTGTAGATTGAATTTTACAGGGGAAAAAAATAGAGAAACAAATTAAGATTCATTAGTAGTATTTGCTCTGTCTACCCTTTATCCCTACCCCACTACTACCACTTGCTATAAATGACAGCAAAAGCTATACTTTTATCTTTCATTGTGGCGTAATTCTTACATTAGCACATAATAAAAATGATTTTATAGGAATATATTAAAAAGGTTTCTACTGTAGAATCAACTGAGCTTATTAGAAGGTTTGGGATGTCCTAAAGCTAAATACTAAAAATAAGTACTAAAACTGTATAAACATGTTGAATCCACAGTAGAAATTTTACTCTTCTTGGGAATTTAATTCCATAGTCTCTGAGAAACTTTTGTATTCTTTTATCCCTTAGTTGTATTATTTTCCTTGTAAACAATCATACCTTTTTCACATGAATACCACTTTAAATGTAGTAATATTTATTACATTATAATTAGAACCAGAAAAACCTTAGATATTCTTCTTATGTTAATAAAGAATAATTACATTAATGTAAATAATTTTTTGATTTATCTAATTTCAGTTAACAAAAGTTTTTAAATTTCCTTTTTATCACTAGTAAATTGTGTAGAAATCTTTAAAACTATTACTTGAACACAATCAGTTCATTAGTTTATTTTTAAATTTATTACTAAGCAAAAACAGCAGATCTTTTAAATGCTAATAGAGTCCTACAGTGAATGACATATTTGGAGGCCTTCTCTAATGTAGCTTCCAGAATATTCCTTGAGGGTGAAGAGTCTAGGATATTAACATTATTTAAATTTTACAGTTTTTTTGTAGACTACCCTTCAAAGCAACCATCAAAAATAGAACTCTTTCTAAACAATAACCTCCATAGATATTAAAGCAACTAAAAACTACTCCATCATCTAAATATTAAAACCAAAAGAATTAATTATCTTATTACATTATTCAGTTAGTTTGTTACCTGAATCTCTAAGCTGTGTCTGATATTTTTCTCTAAAAGTGTATTGTATGTTTGTGTGTGTGTGTTGGCCCTTAGCTTAAGGCCTGGATGCTGTCCCTCTGCTTCTCCTCAAGTCTTACAGACTACTGCCCAGAATGGCTTTCAACAGCTATTTTCAGATCTCAGCCTCCTTGGTAGCTAGGATTATAGGCATGAGCCACTAGTGCTTGGCTAGAAAGTGTATTATTTCACTACTACTTGGTTAGATTACCCTTCTTCCATACCTTTATTTAGTTGCCCACAATTGACTTCAAAGATGCCTCTTAAATAGTTCTAAAGTTATGGAAAAATTTGAAACTGAGTGACCTTGAATTGATTTCACTTTGTAGACCATATTTTAAATTATGAAAGTACCCTTTCAAAGCTAAGGGAAATTTTTACTAAATAGAATTTATTCTCAGCTGTAACTTTTTTCATATTGAAATGGGTAAATGATACATTATGAGGAAAGATAGTCTATGATTCCCATGAATTAAAAGCTAAATCGAGCATATCTACTTTGTATCTTCTCAGCTGGATTTTAAAAATACTACAGATAACAGTTACTTTTTTGTCTTCATGTGATATATCTTGCCAACTGAGCAAGTAATCTATAGGTAGGAATAATAATAATAATATAGCTCACCCAAATAACTTGTTAGAATTAAATGTATCAATACTAGGTTAGAGTCTGTCTGGAATTTGAAAAACAGACAGCTATTATTCAATGTTTAGTTTTTCTCTCTCCAAATTTTAACCATCATTGATTTGCTTTCTCTTAAACAAGAGTGTATTATGAATTTGACTTAACAGGTTATTTATATTGAAGAGTAAAAGAAGTGTGAATCTGGGTAATGGTTCAAGATGTTATGACAGCCAGGTGCTGGTGGCTCATGCCAGTAAGATCTGAGGATCACAGTTCAAAGCCAGCCCGTGAGACTCTTATCTCCAATAAACCACTCAGAAAACTGAAAGTGACACTGTGGCTCAAGTGGTAGAGCGCTAGCCTTGAGCTGAAGAGCTGAGGGACAGCGCCCAGGCCCAGAGTTCAAGCCCCATGACCAACCAAAAAAAAAAAAACAGTTATGACAGGACTGGGAAGGTGGCTCAGTGGTAGAGTGCTTGCCTTGCATGCATGAGGCCCTGGGTTCGATTCCTTAGCACCACATAAGCAGAAAAAGCCAGAAGTGGCACTGGGGCTCACGTGGTAGAGCACTAGCCTTGAGCACAGAGAGGCTCTGGGGCAATGCCCAGGCCTGGAGTTCGGGCCCCATGACCAACAACAACAACAACAAGAAAAAGATGTTATGACAAACAGAGCTGAGCCAAGTACTCATCTGTGCACATGTTCTGTCATTGACCAAACTGTCATAGTTTTCAAACTGTTCACTTTTAAAGAAATTGAAAATACCTAAATAATTACATAATGTAGAATTATTATAATTCTAGGATTAGAGACAGTTATTACAATATACCTTGATGGAATGAATCCCTTCCATTTCTGTTAGGAAATAGTTTTAGATATTTTTGTGTTTTGCCCTACACTTTGGATATGGGGATAAGCTCTGTAGGTTTCATTTAGCACATTTGGTTATGACTAACGGCAACCTATGGAAGCTCTTTGGGACCAAATTCATACCAGGAACTCCTGTGAAGGCACAGAATGCAGCTTCTGTTATGAATATTGTCAAGACAGTTTGTCACAGGTCTTACCACCATTGTATGTTGTGTGCCCTCTAGTACTCTTACAGAGATGATAGGCCTACGTATGCATTTTCAGTCCTCAGCCATGGACACTTGGTCCTTGTTGAATATATTTCCTGTTTTAAAAATGAGTAACTTGAATAACAAAGCTACCACAGCAATAATAATACCTTTGACATTTATGTCAAATGACTGCTGCTATTTTTTTTTTCTGCCAGTCCTGGGGCTTGAACTTAGCACTTAGCTCTGTCCCTGAGCACCTCTGTGCTCAAATCTAGTGTTCTACCACTTAAGCCACCGTGCTACTTCTGTTTTTTTTTCTGTTTATGTGGTACTGAAGGTTGGAACCCAGGGCTTCATGCATGCTAGGCAAGCACTCATGTTAGGCAAGCACTCTACCACTAAGCCACATTCGCAACCAACAATTGCTATTCTAAGTCATTTACCTGTAACTATTTCTTATGACTGCTCTCATAAATAGCTACTTTTTATTTCCATTATCCAGATCAAGAAACAGCATGATGAAATACACTTCATGTAATGTAACTTGTAAGTAGTAGAGCCAGTATTAAAAGCTAAGATGTCTATATACAATGGGAGGAAAGACTAGTGTTTTAAATGGCAGGCTTAAGATTAAGTACGTATGTACTAATGAGCTGTAAGTCAGCAGGGCTAGTTGTAAATATCTTTCATTTTATATGAAAGAAAAACAAAGGATGATGGACAGGGTGATTAACATCTATAATGCTTGCTACTTGGGAGAAAGAGATCAGGAGAACTGTGATTTGAGGCTAGTCCCTACAAAAGTTGGTTAAGCCCAGGGCAGCCAATTAAAAGCCTGGGCATGTATTTTTGAGACTGAGAATAAAAGAGAGGTTCAGGATTTGTTCCTTTATTTCAGCAAGTAGCATAAGAAACTGGAGGAAAGAGTGGTAAAGAAAGGGTTTTAAGTGGGAGAAGGTAAGAAGGGAAAGTGAAGGATTAATGGTGGAGGCAGGCCATCTTTAAAGCAGCTTTTAGCTCAAATTAAAAGATCTACCTAGCCAGTACTAAATCAGACAACAAAGGAATAAGCTACTGCCTGCAATTATAACCTTTCCATCTGTACCATTTTCTTTTTAAAATATAGGTTGAAGAAGGAGCCAAAGATGTAAGGCTGGGTTCACTAATTGGCTTGATGGTTGAAGAAGGAGAAGATTGGAAACAAGTTGAAATTCCCAAAGATGTTGGGCCTCCACCACCAGTTTCAAAACCAGCAATGCCTCATCCCTCACCAGAACCACAGGTTTCTGTTCCTGCTAAGAAGCAACACCCAGCAGGCCCAATGCAGTGAGTATGTTTGAGAAACTGCTGTAGCATTACTGTGGCCTGAATTCATTGCCTAGCACTCTTACTTGACTTTGCTTGCTGCTGGTGCTCTACCAATTGAGCCATGCCTCCCCTCTGTCATTTTGCTGGGTTTTTTGGTGGTAGAGTCTCAACGACTTCTCTTTGTTGGTTAGCTCTAAATGGTAATCTCCAGGTACAGATATAAGCCATTAGCACTCAACTTTTTAGGGCTTCAGTTGTTTTCATACTGAAAGCATACTTATATAGTAAGTAGGAAGTTGCCAATCTTCCCTTTTTTCTCTTAGACACTAGCATCTAAGAACAATTATTTTACCATCATTTTTAACTCAATAAGCAATTATAAAATACTTTTTATGTTCCAGGTACTCTTACAGCCCTATTTTCTCCAGTAGAGAACAAAACAGTCTGTGTCTACACTTGAGCTTGAGTTGGGTTTAAGAATTCCATGGTGGCATTTGTTGGGCCAAGCTTCATTATACTGTTCCCATTCACAGAATTCTTACCACTGTAATGTGAGTTCAGGTTTTAACTGTGCAACTAATCTAAAATCCAGTGATCATTTTAGCATGTGTATTTAAGACTTTGACATAAATTAGAGCTTAAACTAATACTTAGTAAAGGTCAGTTTACATAGCTTTAACTGCTGGACTATAAATTTTAACAAGTAATGTTCTCTCTGATTTTACAAAATTAACTTTTTCCTGAAAAGAGTTTTTTCATAAAGGCATAGTCCTATTAAGAACTACTTTTGAACTTTAAATTCAGATCTTTTAAGTTTATTTTCCTTAATTTCACCCCTCTCAATATTTTGTCTGTTTTTACCCCTGCTAATTTTTGTTAGAAAAATATTATAGTATTTTTGAAGAACTGATTATTTTATTTTGGCTTTTTATTTTTAGTTGAAACATTATTTGTATGTATTTATGAGGTGTAATATGCTAATTTAATAATTATACATCATTATAATTATATATAATGATAAATGAGTTGTAATTGGTATTTATAAAAAATTCCCTTTAGATCTTGAGTCCCTTTATTTTCTGTTCTTTCATTTACCATGAAGATCAGAAAACAGACTCGTCTAATGTCTTGTACTCACTAATATTCTTTCCTTTTAAAGGCAGTAATATGTGCTGCAGTCCTGGCAGTCATCATTAAAAACTGGCATGCATCTGAACTGGTTGTGAGAAAAACTGGGTTGCTTAAAAGTTCCTGCTTTGGCCTGGTAGCTTACCTCCAGTTGATTATTCTGCTAGACAATTTCAGCAACTATGGAAAGGAAAAAGAACAACTGAGGGGCTGGGAGTGTGGCTTATTGGTAGAGTGCTTGCCTAGCATGCATGAACCCCCGGGGTTCGATACCTCAGTACCACATAAACAGAAAAAGCCGGAAGTGGCACTGTGGGTCAAGTGGTGGAATTCTAACCTTGAGCAAAAGAAGTTCAGTGACAGTGTCCATGCAGGAGGAGGGGGGGGGAGGGGTAAAGGAGGAAGAGGAAGAAGAGGAGGAAGAGGAGAAAGAAGGAGAAGAAGAACAACAACTACTACTACTGATTTAGGATAAGAAAAGATTTTTGAAATGTAAGGTTTTGTCTTAATTGGTTTTTCTAAGATGGAATTAAGACACACCTTAAAAGATACACTTCAGATTGTTCAAGAAATAGCAGAGGATATGTGTATGTTTTGAGATTCAAAGTCTTGTAATGGTCACCTTATATAAATACATCTTACTTTATTCAAACTAGCCAATGGTGAGCAGATTGTGAACCTGAACTCAACCTATCTGAGCAGAGAGGTGGGGCCTGCTGCATTATATAAATAGGGAAACAGCCTGCTTACCATGTGTGCTTGCTTGTCAGATTTCTGGCTGATGGGAAACCTTTCTGCAGAAGTACAGTTTGCCTTGCTGAGACAATTCTTTCTTTTTGTGTCTGTCCTTGTGACGCCAGGGGGTTCATGCAAAGCATATTTATAACATGACACAAGTGTTGGTACACACAGTGATTTTTTTTTAACCTGAAAAGTCTACAATCTCAATATCTTTTTTAAAAAGCCTAGGGTTTGATAACACTAGACCACTGTGGATGCATTAGAGTTACTTTTTTAAAGTGCAGCAGGCATCATAGTCTGGTCTTCTTCATTTGCTCGTTTTAAATTTTTGGGTCTGAATAGTTCTTTACATTGGCTGTTTTGTTTAAAGGAAGGTGTTGGTGAACCTTAATTTCCTTACCCATATATCAATATAATTCCTTTCCTTTGCTTACTGTTCTGGAGTATATGTAAAATAAAATGCTTACATATAAATAGTAGGAACAATGAAACAACCCAATTAAAGTTAGGCATAGATCCATATTCCAGTGGCTCACACCAGAAATCCTAGTTACTCAAGAGGCTGAGATTTGAGGGGCACAGTTTGGAACCAACCCAACAAGGCAAATTCTAGAGACTCTATCTCCAGTTAATCAGCAAAAAAGCTGGATGTGGAGTCATGGCTTAAGCACCAGCCTTGTGCTTGAAAAAAGCCAAGTAAAAGCACAAGGCCATGAATTTAAGCCTGGTTACTGGCATACAAAAAAAAATAAAGAAAAAAATAGGCACAGAATATAAATAGATATAAATCAATTTCTTCAAGAAGACGAACAGATGGCTAGTAGGCACATGAGAAGATATTCAGCCTCGCCAATGATTAGTGAAATACAAATCAAACTACAATGAAATCCACTGAAATAGTTATTATTCAAACCAAAAAACAAGTGAAAAACAAAACCCTGAGTGATAGTGAACATGTGGAAAAATTGCAGTTTCTCTGCAGTACTGGTAAAAATGTAAACAGGTGCAGCTGCTGTGAGAATTAAAATTAAAAATAAAATTACTATGTCATCCTGAAGTTCTACTTCTGAGTATATACTGAAAAGAATACAAAACAGGTATTTGTGTACCTGTAAGCACACAGTATAATATTCACTATAGCAAAACAGTGGAAACAATTCATTCATAGGTCCAAAATGCTATGTGGCCACACCTTGACTTGTACTCTTCAAAGTACAGATATGATACATGCTGCAGTATGGGTGGCCCTTGAAGACATTGTGTTTAGTAGACTACGCCAGTCACAAAAGGGCAAATAGTCTGGATACTGTGATGCAGGATCCAGAGGAGTCAGATTAGCTTGTCTAGTTTGAGAGGAAGGAGGCATCCTTTTATTGTTTAATGGCTACAGTTTCAGTTTGGGAAACCTGAAATAGCTCTGGATATAGATGGTGGAAATTGCTGAATGTACTTAATACCATGAGAGTGTATACCTAAAAGTGTTTAGCATGGTAAATTTGATAGTTTTTCCACAATAAAAAAACAGATGACCAAACAGTTCCTTCCTGATGTGATAGTTTCCTATTAAGGAGCTACATGAAATGTTTCTAGGCAAAATGGTAACTTTTTCCTCTTAACATTTATTCTTACTTTAAATATTTTTCAAAAATATTTTATTGTTTCTATGAGAGGGATGCACAGAGGGGTTACAGTTACATAAGTCAGGTAAAGCGTACAGTTATTTTTGGATAGTGTCTCACCCCTTCCCTTGCTCTCTACCTGCTTTTCCTTCTTGTCCCCACCCACAAGTTGTATATTTTCAATATAAACTACATGGGTACAGATTATTTGCCTACTAGCCATCTGTTTGTCTTCTTGAAGAAATTGATTTATATCTATTTATATTCTGTGCCTATTTTTTTCTTTATTTTTTTTGTATGCCAGTCTAGTGAGTACCATGACTGCATCTGTTCAATCTTTGTCTCTCCATTTCTGTCTTCCCCCAAAGCAGATAAAAAAAAAATAAGACAAAAGAGAACAATAACAAAGAAAAAACTTCTTGTTTCCATTTCCTGGAATTCATTTCAATAAATATTATATTATATGGTTAGAGGCACATAGGCATTATGCCTTTGTGTTCCTCTCCTAAGAATATCCTCCTTTGGTCTCATTGTGTGAATGCCTAGAGTCCTGTATAATTTATTACTATTTGTTTTGTCCCGGTGTGTTTTAGATTTAGCTTCTGCATATGAGAGAAAGATGTGCTGTTAGTCTCTCTGAGCTTGGCTTACCTCACTTACCATGATTTGTTACAGGTCCATCCATTTCTCTGCAAATGACATAATATTATTCTTGCAATGTTTTTAAGTAGTAACTAAAATTTTACAGATATGTTCTGACAACAATATAAACTACATGGGTACAGATTATTTGCCAAATTATCTATGGAAGTCATGTTAACTTTAGCAAAAGATTTTGTTTTTCTAATGACAATAAAATTGGTGAACATTTAGATATATTTGAATTGATGTAAGTATTAATAATTCCATTAATATTCATGTTTCTTCTTAGGTTCCGCTTGAGTCCAGCTGCCCGTAATATTCTGGAAAAGCATGCACTGGATGCCAGCCAGGGCACAGCTACTGGCCCTCGGGGAATCTTCACTAAAGAGTGTGTATGCTTTCCTTAACAACCAGTTATATATTATTTGTCTTTTTTTCCTCTCAAAGCATTTACAAAGAGTTTATTCAGTGTTAGAATTTAAAAGGGGGTACACTTTTGTGCTTTAACTGCTTTTGTCAGTCTAAATTGTACCCTTTTCAAGGGTTGTTTTCTGGGTAATTGTTGCATTATTGAAGAACAGTTCTAATTTAGAAACTAAGCCAGATGCTTAGAATTGGTGATGAATGTAGAAAATTAAAGTACAGAACAGTAAGAAATTATATTTTAAGTTTGTATTAAATTATCACCCAGTCACAGTTAATTTTTAAAACATGGAAAGACAGTTTAAAAAATAATTCCTATGTTGTGGATTTATTCAGTAGCAGCTATTAATTTCCACATTCAGTTTCTTCTCTTTTTAGGTTGCCTTTTCTGTTCCATTGATCTGTTTGTCCATGAGTTAATACCATTCTTTTTTATTGTTACATGTTTAATTATATTTTATGGTATGATTTAAAATCTGAGATACAAATTTCTTCCTTTATTCTTTTTCCATAAGCTAATTTGTTAGTTTAGTTTTTAACTATTCTTCCCAGTAATTTTAAACAGTTCTTCTAGCTTACAGTTATCTAGGGCAAGGGACTGTTATTTTAATGGAATTGTATTAAATTAGCTTAGTAAAAGCTGTGTCTTTATGATAGTCTTCCTAGTCAAGAAACTGGAATGTATTTGTATTTGTTTAAATTTTCAAATTTTCCAGAAGTATATTGAAACAAATGATCCCTTCTCTATTGGCCCTTAACCTAATAGGGAAGACAAAGAATAATCGAACTGGCTTTTGACCTAATTTACAACTTCCTTAGCAATATGGACTACATTCCTATTGACAGCCACATTAAATATTTTTAATTGTATTAATGTTTTAAAGCATGGATGTAGAACCTTTTTTTCTGCCAAGGGCCATTTAAATAATATAACATCATTCTCAGGCCATACAAAATTTATCTGTGAAAGCAGACAACTTGTGGGAGACCAGTGAGAAACATTTATGTCTGTCCTCTCAAATTCTATAGTCTAATTTCATGTTTAAGTAATACAGATTAGAAATAATTGCATTGGCTAGAATTTTTATAAGTTGGGATAGTCAGAGGTTATGAAATAACAGTAACATACTAGCTTTTTACAAAGGCTAGTAGCTAGTTTAATTATTTATCATTCTAAATGATGCTCTAGGTTACCTTCATTACTTTAGCTTTTGTTCATAACATATTGGGCAAATTAAATATGGTATGATAGCCTAGCCATAAGCAAGATCATTTATGGTAGAATAAGTAATGATTTAGCAAATGTCCTAATGAAAGCCATAGGGAAAATTAATACTGTCTAAATGCTATTTGAAAATTATTTCACAGGTATAGGAGGCATATTTTAATTAGCAAATTATTTATGTACCTAGATACTACCTAATAAAAACCCTAATTTACTTTTTGAAAATTGCTATCTATACCCAGTACTGTGAGAAAATTCTAATTACCATTTGGTTTTTGAAATTGTACTTATTACACAAATAATAAACAGAAAACTTGGTAGAAAAAATTACTTTTTGAGCTCAAACAATTAATTTTTTATATACTTCTGTATTGTCCTTCCATATCTGACCTTTATTTTCTAATAGCAAGCTTGTATTCTGTATCAGTAATCATAATTATCTATTTTCTCTGATCTCCAGAGATGCTCTCAACCTGGTCAAGCTGAAACAGATGGGCAAGATTACTGAGACTAGACCAGCCCCAGCTCCTCCAGTCACTCCAAAAGCCTCTTTACCACCCCCTGCCACAACTGGGCCATCATATCCCCGGCCCATGATCCCACCATTATCAACTCCTGGACAACAGAATGTTGTGGTAATTCCCTCTGAGTACGATTTTCAGATAAGTGAGAGGAGGAAAATATTACTTACTAATGATTTTATCAATCCATTTTAGTAATAGCTTAAAGTTCTAATGAAAAATAAATGCTTCAGAGGCTTTTCTTGCAGACTTCTTGTCACAACATAAATGTTTGGGTAGCACTAACTATAATTCAGGTTAAATCTGCACAAATTCCACAACCTCAGTACCTACATGTGCTGTATAAACATGAGAATTTGCTTGTCTTGTTTTCCTTGGGTTTAAAAATCATTGGTGGTTGACATTAGCTACTTTTAGTGGATATGTTATTTTTTAGCTAGAATTGATAGCCTCACTGTAAAGAATTATGTGGACTAGGGGCTGGGAAGGTGGCTCAGTGGTAGAGCGCTTGCCTTGCATGCCTGAGGCCCTGGGTTCGATTCCTCAGCACCACATAAGCAAAAAAAAAAAAAGCCGGAAGTGGCGCTGTGGCTCAAGTGGTAAAGCGCTAGCCTTGAGCTGAAGAGCTGAGGGACAGCGCCCAGGCCCAGAGTTCAGGCCCCACGACCGGAACCAAAAAAAAGAATTATGTGGACTATACCATATAACAAATCAGTTATGATGACATTGTTATATCTCATACATATGCAGTGTAACAGCTATGTTTTGTTTTCAGAGTACTCAGTTTTCCTCTATTCCTTTTCTAGTACCTCTTGTCATTTATTTCTAGTCAGAAGCAATGTAGGATATTTAAAATTGAATAATAACTGGAGAAATAAACTTACACTGTTCTTACTAACAGAAATATAGTTCACTATATTTGAAAGAGGTTTAAGTACAAATTTCATGGCAAACAGATTTTTTTTTTTGGTATACATTTATGTGTATACAGCATACTTTACGGAAAAACTTTGTGTTGCCAAATCTTTAAAAAGTAAGTTATTCAAATTAAGATAAATCTTATCAGATGCTTATAGAATGTAGAAAGCATTTATCTAAGTAGTCAGATACTTTGTTAACATGAAATGTTTAATTCCAGAAAAGGTCATTTGTATAAAAGAAATAAGGTATATTTTCAGTTGCTTTATATTATTCTGAGGAGATTATAATGTCCTCCCAGAATGACTGAGGATAAGGAAGTAATTATATATAATTTGAGGATATCCTACTGTTATGAAAGGTTCAAGGCCCAGAATGCAAAAGCAATACTAAAGTTACAGGAAAATGTGTGTGTGTACGTGCACGTGTACATGTACTCAAGGCTAACACTCTACCACTTGAGCCACAGCTTCACTTCTGGCCTTTGGGTGGTAAATTGGAGATAAGAGTCTCACAGCCTTGGAACCGTGATCCTCAGATCTCAGCCTCCTGAGTAGCTAGAATTACAGGTGCGAGCCCCCAGTACCTGGCTCTATACTTTGTATTTTTAATTCCTAGTAAAAATGGTTTTGAGTTTTTTAAATTACCAACAAAATTAGAAACACTTTGACAGGTTAACCATTATATTGCTTATATTTTTCCACTTTATGCCATTTTTTTGTAAGAATGGCCTATAGTAGGCACATTATTTCTGCTCTGGGTTTTACTAAGAGCTGTTTCTAACAAAAGCTACTTACATCTTTTAGTGTATATATACATATATGTGGGTATATGTATATGTATGTTTCTTGCTGCCAATCTTTCTCCCATTTTCTCTCCTTTCCCCCTCCTATATATGTAAATTTGTAAATTGAATATGGACACATTCATGGGAAAATTAATTATAATTTGGTAGATTTCTTTATAACTTTCTTAAATTAGAAATATAAAATAACTTATTTATAGCTGAAAGTTTTGAATTTTACTACTTTTTATATAATAGGGTATTCCAAAGCCCAAAATGTCTTCGATTTTCCCCCATATAAAAATAGTTTTAATAGTTCTTTTCCTGTATTAGTCTTTAATTGATATCATGAGTTGCCAGTCATTGAGACTTGAGTACGGATAGGCAGTTTTTTTTTCTTCTGCTTTCTTCCATTCTACCTTGTGATTTTAATGGACAAATTGCCATTATTTTTCTTTTCTTTTTTGTTCATTTGTTTATGCAGGGCACATTCACTGATATTCCTGCTAGCAATATTCGAAGAGTTATTGCCAAGCGGTTAACTGAGTCTAAAAGTACTGTACCTCATGCATATGCTACTGCAGACTGTGACCTGGGAGCAGTTTTAAAAGTTAGACAAGATTTAGTGAGAGGTGAGTAAACTGGAGTTTACTTAATGCAGTACACATACTAACTTAATTGTTCTGAAATCCTTTATAAAATGGACATTATATAGCTTATAATTTCACTTTCTGTCTGGGTGTGGATTATACAAGAACCAAAAAAAAAAAAACAGAAGAAGAAGAAGTGGAGTTTGGGGGAACCGTAATTATTATAGCAGTAGTATCAAAACTGTAGAATGAAGCTTCCTTGTTGGGAGATGCCACAGTTGAGAAAAACAGATTAAGATGAGTAGTGAGTAGACAGAAGGAAGAAAACCTAGGGAGCATGGGGACAAAGGAGCAAGTGATCGAAGTGTAAAAGATTGGCCCAAGAATGCTTGAGATGAATTGAAGACAGAAAGCTAGGTGAGGACTGTGAAATTAAGTTGTAGGTTTGAGAGTTATAGCTGGTGATGGCTGTGGATCTTCACTCAATGTACCTAAGGAAAGCAGAGTAAGTAAGGAGCAAGCCAAGAGAGCTATATAAGCTGGGCAGAAGGAGTTCATAACAATATCATACTCAAGCATTTGAATTTATATAGGCCATATCTTCTGTATGTGATTATTATTAAAGGGTTTGTTTTGTTTTGTTTTGTTGTTTTTTTAACCAGTTCTGGGGCTTGAACTCTGGGCCTGAGCACTGTCCTTTTGGTAGTTAATAGGAGATAAGAGTCTGCCACACTTTACTGCCCGGGCTGGCTTTTAACCATGATCCTCAGACCTCAAGTTCTTGAAACTGGAAACCCATTTATGTTTCTACTCTTAAAGGGAATCTTAGAGAAACAGACAATTCAGAATACTTACATATTTCTGGATATCGCAGTTAGAAGAGTAACATTTACCTTGACAGTTGACCAGTATGCTGGTTTATGGCAATTCATCTACAATCTCCAGGATACTTTTGAAATGTGCTATTTGTTCACATGAAATTCCATGATACTCTAATAATAGGATTATGTATTTCTTCACATATACCAAAGCCTAAATCTTTATCTTAATACCTTTTTCTAAAAAGCTCTTGTAAGAAAGAATCAAATGTGTTCATTTTCCAGCATCACTTATCCATCGGCAAAAGCAAAGCATTAGTTATGATCAGATGTTTTTATCAGTACTGTGTTAAAGGGAGGAGACTCCAGCTTTATCTTAAAATCATTATGTATACTGGAAGGAAACTGACTCAAGTGCATTCACTGTAAGTCTAGGTGGAGAACCCATTTACTCATTGCACTAGGTCCATGCCAACATTGCATCATAGTTGGCTTTTGCTATATCTTGTTGTGAGAAATAGCTCTTGTTTATTGTACTGTATACTCTGTTGGTAAAAATTTCTACACCCTAATAGAAAAAAGAAAATTTGAAACACCCCTTATAAGTGTATAGATAATAATACACCTACCTGCAGCACTCTTCTGATGTAGTTAATATATTATAAAGCATGTACAGAATAAAGACATTTGAAAATGAGAAATAAATGAATCATGTTATAAATTTTCTGGGCACAGACAACACAGAGATTATCATCTTTTAGGGACATTGGTATTCACTCTTTATGTTATAGTTTTAATGTATCCTGTAGGGTTCAGAAAGTATAATCAAGGTTCAGAAGTGAAAATTTTGCTAAGGGTTAAGGGGTCCTGGAGATCAAATTCAAGGTCTTGTATATGCTAAGTGCATGCTGTACTACTAAACTGCATCCCTGGCCCCTGAAAGTAAATTTACATTCAGGGCTATTTTATCCCTCATGTAATTCAAGTTTTTCTAATTAAGGGAACCTTACTGCTTGAGCAAACAAAATTCTATATATGTTATCACCTTTAATAGGAGATAAGAGTCATTTACTGTTGCCATTTGTAATTTTTAATTTTGAAATCTTAACAGTTGGTGTTAAAGTTTTATTATGAAGACTAATTTCAATACAATTATTTTTGTTTCAGATGACATTAAAGTTTCAGTAAATGATTTTATCATCAAGGCAGCGGCTGTTACTCTTAGAGTAAGTAGTAGCAATCCCCCAATAATACTGGATTTTGAATAATCTTATGTTTGGGTATTTTTATAATTTTATTGGTAAAAATAATCTATTTCCTGTGTTTTTTAAACTTTTTTTAAGTGCTCATCAGCTATGCAAGTGAGCATTGTGACACTTCTGTGCATACTTTCCTATGTTATACAGATGAAGAAGCTTGAGAATCAAAAGAGCTCACAAACTAATTACAGCAGTATAGAGGCCATTTATTCAGCCTTGTGCTAAGTGCATTTTAAGCAGTAAAGTTACAGTAGTGGATGAAGTCCTGCAAAGTTTCTACTGATGGGGCCTGTTTTGTAGTTGGGGTAAACAGACAAATATGTCAGATGGTGAAAATGTTAGGAGAAAAAGAAAGCAAAATAATGAGAATAATGGTGTAGAATAACTAGGGTGCTGTTTTCTAGGGCCTCTGTGGCAAGACTATAATGGAAATATGAAAGAAAGAGGAAGGGAGGGAAGAAGTAGGGGAGAGGAGAGAGGTGAGAAAGGCAAGAGAGCCAAATAAATATCTGATAGAAGAACATTTCAGACAGCTCGACACTAGTGAATGTGTCATTAACTTTAAACACAGATGGTAGAGTTAGTAAAAACAGAGAGTAGAAAGTGAGATATTTTGAAATGAGTAGGGAAAAGAGAAAGAGTTGGGAGGACCACTGTCCAGGAGGCCCTCATGACCATGGTAAGGACCAGGGATTTTATTAGGAATAAGAAAGAAGCCTTTGGAAAGTTTTAAACAAAAGACTAACATGATTGAGACTTACATTATGAAGAAGAGAAACTGCACTGGTCTCTGGAATATAGCTCATGGAGCGACCAAGGCAAAAACAGCATAGAAGGTTGTAGATAATATTGGACTAGGGGTAGCAGTGGAACTGGGGTGAAGTAGAAACTTGAGTTACAGTTCAAAAGTGGAGCCGGTAGGGTCTGCTTTTGGATTTGATGAAGAACATGAAAGAAAGCAAGTAAGGATTTTAGCCTATGATGGAGGAGTGGATTTTCCTGTGTTGAGATTAAGAAACCTGGGAGAACAACAGGCTAGACATGGGGAATCTTGGTTTGGGTTTGAACATGTCAGCTTTGAGGAGTCTCATAGATATCCCAGTGTTGGTGATAAGAAAGCAGGTATGGTGGTACTGTCTGGCCTGCGGTGTAAACCTGCAGCCCAGGCTTCCTGCCTCTCCACCCAGAACCAGTTGCAGTCTGCCTTCTTTCTATATAAGCTATTTGATGGGGGAAGAAAATACAGTAATGGAGTTTAAAGACACTTCTGTTCAGCATGTACATCATTTTTCATAGAGCTTTTCTCTTAACCAAATGTTTTAAGTTACATTTATGATTTTCTAATTGTGAATCTTACACTCTTTGAATTAGTCACAAGCTCATTGTTCAAGTTTAAATCAAGAACTGTAATTATACTTTAAATTTCACACAAGCATTTGTCTTTTTCTTTTAAAACAGTGGCTTTACTAAGTGCATTTGGATTCTTTTTTCTTTTATCTGTGTTTATCAGTTAAAAGAATTTTTATTTCTTATGGTTTCACCAGTAAAAATATTTGAGTCTATCGAGTTTTGAAGTGGGAATCTTAGCAACTTCCCATTTTCCCTGCCTGTAATTCTTGACTGTAATTTCAATTTTAATCAATTATGGAAGCATGGATCAGGTATGAGGGTACATGCCTATAATTCCATCTACTCGAGAAGCAAAGTTAGGGAGATTATGATCTGCAGTTAGAAAACTGAGGCAAAGAAGGGCTGGGAACAAAGATCAAATGGTAGTGTGCCTGCATAGCAGACAGGAGGCTCTGAGTTCAGACCTGGTACTATTCCCCCAAATTGTGGAAATATATATTTTCCCAGCATATCGAGGCTGGGAAGGTGGCTCAGTGGTAGAGCGCTTGCCTTGCATGCCTGAGGCCCTGGGTTCGATTCCTCAGCACCACATAAGCAAAAAGAAAAACGCCGGAAGTGGCGCTGTGGCTCAAGTGGTAGAGCGCTAGCCTTGAGCTGAAGAGCTGAGGGACAGCGCCCAGGCCCAGAGTTCAGGCCCCATGACCGGACCCAAAAAAAAATAAAAATAAAAAAAATATTTTCCCAGCATATCATTTCATCTAAATACCCAGAGTTATTATCCCAGTCTTTAAATTTATATCCTAGAGTTTTTCTAATATCCTCACTATCTGAGGTTATTCTAAACCCTGTCCTGCTTTTATTTTGCATATTTGTGTTTTCAGTCTTGTAGGAGGGGGTTTTTTGGGGGGGGGAATTGTTTATGTATTTTTTTGTTCGGATATTTCTTTTGGCATGTGTATTTAGAAATATTTAATTAGAAAACTTGAATGTGTAGCACATTTTAAGTACTGTTTTATTAATAGGCTTAAAATACATCTTAAATACTAAATATTTTAAATACATTTTAGACCATGTTCTATGGAGTTTTATTACATGGTTTCCTAATTAAATTTATTCCTGGGGGATCAAAGGGAGAGGGGTGGACAAATGAAGCGAAGGAGTGAGTTTTGTATACCCTAAAAATTAAGGAGATTGAGGAAAGGAAAGGGCAGAGCAGGGAGGGATGGGTAAGAACGTTGAAAAGTATGACATTGATCAAGATATATTGTATTCATAAGCTGCATTGTTAAATGACAACACCTTTGTATAACCATTTTATCTGCTTTATATGCAAAATATATACAATATCTTCTGTTTGTGAAGCTTAAAGGATCTCTGTTGTATGAAAGAGTCATTTTCTGAGGTCTTGCTAATATATATTCCAGAACAGTTCTTACAAGCCAGGCTTTCTTCATACTGAAGAAAAATGATTGAATATCCTTACCCTTTTCTACTCTCTCTCCCCCATGAGGTCATGTTAGTCATCAGATAAATACCTTCTGGTAATTAGATTTAACAGTGGGAGACCTTTTTTAGCCATGATATAAGGAGATCAAAACAAAAACATCAGAATTGCCTAAAAAAAAAATACTGTTTAAGTACTCTTCAGACTCACAAACCATAATCCACACAGAGATCCAAGATATTTTTCAAACTGAATTTTAATTTCTTTCTGTCTTGCTATTTGCTTTGGAAAGGGCATAATGATGTTAATTATTTTTCTTTGACAAAAACTGCTTCTTTCTTAACATGTTTTCTCTGTTTCCCAGCAAATGCCAGGTGTCAATGTCAGCTGGGATGGGACAGGCCCAAAACAGCTATCCTCTATTGACATTTCAGTGGCTGTGGCAACAGATAAAGGTTTAATTACTCCAATCATAAAAGATGCTGCTGCTAAGGGAATACAGGAAATTTCCAAGTCTGTGAAGGTAGGTTTACTTCCTGATAGTCTCCACATGATCTGGTCACTCTGGCATTTCTATGAGATTTTAAGAAAATTTAGTATTCAAAAATTCAGAAATAACAGGTAAGTAAATAAGTTAGTGATCCACTTCATTCAGAGGCTTTTCTAGTCAAAAGCTTTATGTCACAAACTTTAGAATTCAGTCCCAAAGATTCTAGTTCAGAAAAAAATCTTAAAGTTGAAATGAAGCTAAAACTTTTTTCTATATGTGTAGTAATAAGTAGAGCTTGATGATAACAACATTCCACTTTTAAAGTTTATTTTATTCATCTCTTCTTTAAACCTGATACCACTGAAACTGCTTGGTATTCCAGTGGCAAAAGTGCTTTTATTTTTCCTGGGCCACTTGAAAAGTAGGGTTTTTTTGCTCCAATCTGTGGGAATGTGATTTCCCCCAAAAATGTCACACTGAGTAATCAGGAATACAGGAAGTAAGTCACCTTTGACAGCTACTGTAATTTCCAAGGTTATTTTGTGGTAGAAGTATCACAGGTTGTAAAATTTTTGTATTGAAATTTTCAGATTCATTTGGGTATTTATTTTCTTTTTACTTATCAAGGACCTGGTATATGTTTGGTAGTAGAATGATTTATAAGGGAGATAAAATACAGAAGATACGACTCCTTTGGAGAGCTGACAGTATATAAATGCAAAGGTCTGTTTGTCCAAAATAAAGCAATGCATACAAGTTCTTAAACACATATAATAGAATTTTAGTTATACATCATTAAATGTGAACCTAGTGCAATTGACCTTTTAGGTTTTTCTTCATTCTTCTGAAAAGACTTGCAAAGTGTGATTGTATAGATAAATATGCAAATGTTTCTAATTGAAAGGTGGTATTAATTTGGCCAGTTTGAAAGTCAACGTTAGTAGATTGGTTCACTGGGATATAAGTAGTCCCCCTTATTCACAGGGGTACATTGCCACACACTTCTCCCAATGGATGCTTGGAACCACCCTGTAAATACTACTTTTTCTGTGTATAAGTGCTTATGATAAGTTTAATTTGTACATTAAACACAAAGATTCACAAAAGAGAGCAGTTATAACAATGTATATACTTGATAAAATTGTAGGCATTATTTCTCTTGTCCTTAGGGGCCAATGTTTAGTAAAATAGGGATTATGTGAACACAAGCACTGCTAAACCAGGGCAGCTGATCTGGTACTGAGACAACTGCCGTACGGATAAAGTGCCTGTAGCCTATGTACATGAATACCCTATAAACGGAATGATTCTTTTTTCAAGTGGGTCAAAATTTTATGTTGCTCTGAGCTGGGAAGGTGGCTCAGTGATAGAGCGCTTGCCTTGCATGCATGAGGCCCTGGGTTCAATTCCTCAGCACCACATAAGCAGAATTTTAAAAAAGGCAGAAGTGGTGCTGTGGCCCAAGTGATAGAGCGCTAGCCTTGAGCTGAAGAGCTGAGGGACAGCATCCAATCCCAGAGTTCAGGCCCCACGACTGGACCCCCCAAAAAAAAGAAAAAAAGTTTGTGTTGCTCAAAACAACATGCAGCTTAAAACTTTTGCTTTATTTCTAGACGTTTTCATTTAATATTTTCAGACTGAAATTGACCACATTACAAATGGAAAAGTGAAAGTAGGGGATAAGGGTTTGTTTTTTATTCATAGCCCTTTGATTCATAAGAATTTTTAGCAGCACTGAGAATACATGTTTCAGTGATGTTTTGAAGTTAAAATGAGATTTAATGTTGAACTAACATGTATGTCAGGTACAGTGGCTCAAACCTGTAATCCTACTTATTAGGTACATAGAGAATGGGGGATTGAAGTTTGAAGCAAGCCTGGGCATAAAAGTTCAAGTCTCCATCTCAACCAGTTGCTGGAAGCCATGACTATGCCTGTGATCCTAGCTAGTAGGGAAGCCACTGTGGTTAGGCACAGTGGTATGTGCTCTAGAAACCCAGGGAAGCGCAGTACAATCTCAGCCCAGACCAACCTGAGAATGAAGCAAAACCTGAGGGTGTAGCTCAAGTGATAGGGGGCCTAGAGTCTAGCAAGCTTCAGGCCCTGAGTTTAAATTCCATTACTAATGGGAAGGGGGGAAAAGGCCATATAAAGTATAAAGTACTGTATAAACATTAGTTATTGCACTGTCAACTAAAATTTTCTTATTTTTAAATTTTAACCATTATATGATTATTTCTTTGATTCTGAATCTGAACAAGTTAGCAACTTTACTGGGTTACAGATTCTTGAAATCGTATATTAGCCTTCTCTGCTCCTTGCATTTTGAAAGAACCTAAGTTTAAGAGGTCAGTGTGTAGCCTCAGCCAACTACCTGGCAACAGGAAGACAGTCAGAATCCTGTGGAATCTAATGGTCCCAGGTGGTCCTTGAGCATTTCCTGTAATTTCCAGCACTTAAGAAGTAAACTCTGAAGGTTTGCTGAGGTCTGGCTGAGATCGGGCTACTTGTACTTCTCTGTCAACCTGCTCCCTATAGCCACCATTTCACTTGTGAACTTATAATATGCGGGGCTGTGGGATAAATACTTCATTAAACCCTAGTAATCCTGGGTAAGGATGTATTTATACTCAGGCAGTTTAAAAATTGTAGAACTCATACTTAATCACCTCTGTGTCATATCACCTTTCTCCTTCATTTCCCTCATACTCTGTAGCTTCTGTTAGCTGTGGTAGATTCTTCACACTATCCCATTACCCAATCACACTTTGTAATGACATTGTTTATTTTATTATTGACCCTCAGTGTTTCCTACAGTCTGATATTGACTGTCTTTTCATTGTCATGTATCAGTTCTAGTCTAAAAGTTGGTATTGTCAAGAGTGTAATGCAACTAATATATTATTGCATTGCTTGTCTGATTGAACTAGTTTAGTCATGCAATGTTTAAAATCAAGAGCCTAAAAAGGACAATCTCTAAGGTACTGTCATTTTACTTCTAAAAATTTATACTAATTCAGTGGAACAAATTATAATGTTGGGAAAATGACTAAATAAATTATGGCCAATGCAGTTTTTACGATGTTAAGCAGACGTTTAAAAATCAAAGATAAGCCAGGTACTAATGGCTCACACCTGTAATCCTAGCTACTCAGGAGGCTGAGATCTGAGGATCATGGTTCAAAGCCAGCCTGGGCAGGCAAGTCCCTGTGACTCTTATCTCCAATCAACCACTGGAAGTGGCACTGTGGTTCAAGTGGTAGAGAGCTCACCTTGAGCTGCAGAGCTGAGGGACAGCGCCCAGGCCCAGAGTTCAAGCCCCACGACCAACAAAAACAAATCTAAAATATTGAAAAGTAAAGTATGAAATTCTGTTTTTCCTTTACCATTATCTGAAGCGTACATTGTGAATTCAAATGAAATGAATACTCAAAGATAAACCTATTGCATTGGCTGTGGGATTGTGGTATACTTCTTTAGTTGTTGGTTTATCATTGGATATATTCTTTAAAACCTGCTGGGTTGAAAAGAGTGACTTGTTTTTAAATATTTGTGTCTTATAGGGGAAAATGTTATAAGCAAACATCTTGTAAAAACAGATCAAGACATATAAGAAGGATGGGGGATCTGGCTCAAGCTAAGTGCTTGCCTTATAAACAGAAGGTTTACCAAACCCCAGTACTGCCAATAAAAGAATGAGAGGCATCAGAGATGACAGTGTATTCTATACAAGTGATATTCAAGTGATATGATCAAGTATAACATTTTTTGTTGTCATACCATGTTTGTATTTTTCTCAGGCTCTATCGAAGAAAGCAAGAGATGGAAAATTATTACCTGAAGAATATCAAGGAGGATCTTTTAGGTAAAATTTAAATTCTCAATAGCATCAAGCAGCTATATATAAGACTAATTAAGTCTCTGTCAACCCTTCCATTTATTTATCTGTTTTTAAATTTTAAGCAAAATATCACATAGTTTATTCAACTAACAGAATATGTGAGAATATTCTTCAGCCTAGTCAGGCTTTTATAGAAGTGCTGTAGGAACCCCTTGGTGTTCAAATAAACATTCCTTGAATGGAGATTAGCTAGCACAAAATGACAACCTAGGGCCTTATGCTTGTTAACAAGTGCTCTCTCCTGAGCCATGCCTCTGGCCCATGATTGTACCTCAATCCTCTTATTTTATACTTCCCACTATAGCTGGGATGACTTGCACACACCATCTTGTCCAACTCATGAACTTTTACCTGGGCTGGCCTGGAACTATGATCTTCCCAATTTCAGCCTCCCTAGTAGCTAGGATTGCAGGTTAGCCTGTGTGCCCAGTAACATCCAAGTTCTTATTGGGATTTTTTAAATAAATTTCTAGATTTATAAACCTCAACTGTTCCTTCCTACTTGTGTTTTTAATTTTTGCAGTGTTACTTTTAAATGTTTCTTACAAACCATACTATCACTTATAGTAAACCATATGAAGTCCTACATCCATTTTTTTAAGTGATTTGTAGAAGTAGTTTTTCCAGATACCCACATCTTAGAAAGATATATTCTGTTTCTAATACCTTTTCCCATTTTGTGGCTTGCCTTTTGGATTTCATGGTTATATTTTTTATGAGCAGAAGTTTGGAATTTTAATGAATTCCCTGGTTCTTGGCATTTTTCTTCATACTTGATGGCATTGTTTTCTAATACGAACTTTTGCCTCTTCCATGTAGTTATTCTACTGTGTTATCTTCTAGAAGCATTACAATTTACTTTTAATATGTAGGTCAGACTCTAAAATTGGATTTTTATATGCTATGAAATAGAAATCAATGTTCTCTTTTTCCCATTTAAATATTAAATTAACCCAGCTTATTTATTCTTTTTTTTTTTTTTTTTTTGTCGGTCGTGGGGCTTGAACTCTGGGCCTGGGCGCTGTCCCTCAGCTCTTCAGCTCAAGGCGAGCGCTCTACCACTTGAGCTACAGCGCCACTTCCCCAGCTTATTTATTGAAAATATGTCTCTTCCATAAAATTGAGAAAGTGACCATATATATGCTGGTCTGTGTCTCTTTTTCCCATTCACTATTTGTATATACTTTGCTCTATTACCTCCAAGCTATAACTTCAGATATCTGGTAGAAAAGTCTCCCAGTTTGTTTCACTCTCAAGGTTGTTTCCTAGCCCTTTTTTTTTATAATTTAATTTTATTTTATTTGTGAACATACTGTACAGAGGGGTTACAATTACATGGGCAGGATAATGTGTACATTTCTTACCAAGCATTGCAGCCTCCTCCTTTGTTTACCCTTCACATCCTCCTAGCCCTTTTTATTCCAAATAAATTTTATAGGAAGAATTCCATTTGAATGTCAAATGTATAATAGTAGATAAGAGTGTTTACATAGCTATGTTAATATGATCTTCGAATAAATTGGTAGAAAGTATAGTGGCACAGCACAGTTTTTTAGTAAAGTAAAAAAAAAAGTGTTTTGGGGTGCTGCCACCTTCAGAGCTTTTTTCCTCCCCCTCTAGTATTTCCAACTTGGGGATGTTTGGCATCGATGAGTTCACTGCGGTGATCAACCCTCCTCAGGCGTGCATCTTGGCTGTTGGGAGATCCCGCCCTGTGCTGAAGCTGATTGAGGATGAAGAGGGGAATGGCACCCTGAAACAGCACCAGTTCATCACTGTCACCATGTCAAGTGACAGCCGAGTCGTTGATGATGAACTAGCTACCAGATTTCTTGAGAGTTTTAAAGCAAACCTAGAAAATCCTGTCCTTCTTGCTTAGTCCTCAAAGACAGGAACTGCATTGAGTAGTTTTTACCAAGGAACACAATAGGAAAACGGTTAGGTATTTAAATATGAAATGGATGAATTGCTTATTTATTTAAAGTGAAAGCTTCTGACTTTCTTTGTCTTCATTTTCAGTGTGAGATTATTGTGAAATAAATGACAATATACACTATAACTGATAAAGAGAAGAGAAGATTTGGTTAGTCAAATCCATTTTTAACCTCTGGTGCTGTACAGAAGGGTTCAGATGTAACTAGGTGAAAATCAAATCATGTTTGACTCAAATCCTACGTTTACAGTACAGTGTAAACTCAAAAAAATTGATAGAACTCTATCTTGTGTTAAAATTACAAATGGGCTCCAAAGAAATGCCTCTTAACTTAGCAGTGAAATCTTTATAAGCACTGCTCTAGATATACTTGAACAGTTTAATATGTGCAGAAGTTTTTTGAGATAATAGTAAATAAATAAGGATCATATTCTATAAGAGATTGTAGCAACATTATTAAAATGTTTATGTATATAAAGCCATATATGTTTTAACCATGTATGTTTCTATCAGTCTTATTTTTTCCTCCTATAACTGTGATCTTCTAAAGAAGAAATATCAAAGAAACAAAACTGGTGAATGAGAGAAACCAACAAGGTTGAATGAAAAACATGACTGCTCACTGCCCTGAGTTGGTATTGGAATGAATCCCAAACATCTTGAGTTAGTATTGATTGATATACAGTATGTTGTTTCATAATGCATTTTAATCAAGTTTGTATTGTGCAGTAAAATGGGAGAAAATATAAAAATTCCTAATTTTTATTTTATATGTTAGGTTAAGGAGTTTATTTCTAGGATGTTGAGGTTTATTCGAAATTTCTCTGAAGCATCTTTAAAGTACTAGACAGGAAAAGGGGGTTTTAAAAATGGGATTTAAAATTAGTAGGACATTAGAAAAGTGATAAGGAATGTAACTATCAGTAGTATGAAATTTTCACTAATTATCAGTGCTAGAAGAAATTTCTCTCCTTTGGAAACTGCTATACTGGCAAGATAAGTATTTAAATTGGATGGTAATGAATGGTAATTTAATTTATCATTCACAAGGAATCTGTTAGTATCAGTTGACATAAATCAGTAGAAGAAAGACTGTATGGTGAAAGTTGTATGTGATATGACATGATGAACTATAAGCTCTAACAAATGAGCCTTCTGAATTAATTAGTGCTTCTATCAGTTGTTAAGAAAATGCTTAATTCAGTTACTCAACTTTAAAAAGCATTTTTAAAATAATCTTTGAATCTTTTGTCATATGAACAGTTATGCTAAGTTGTAACCAGATGCAGTTTTAAAATAACTGTAGTAATTTCCCTTATTTCTAAGGTGAAGTTTAGCTGAAATTATTATTCTTTTTCCCAGCTTTGATACTGAGGAGTAGAGCCATGAAATAAGCTTAGCTTGAAGTTCTATTTTCCATGGACAGGTACCCATTAGCAGTAGACTTCAGTTTCCCTGTAGACAAGATGCTACCTTACAGAATTGTTGTGAACTGCACAAAATCCTGGCTGGAGAACACACCCATACTTTCCAGAAATCAGCTACATTCATGGTGTAACTTCTCAGGTTTTTGGTACAAGTGTTTGTTTATTTTGACCAAAAATATTTTCTCTAGTTTCCTATAGTGATTAGGTATGTGTTAAGAAATTGTGATTTCTGAAAAGAATACTGTTACAGCCTGCGATCAAAGAAGGCTGATTTGAAGGAGTATGGAACACTGGTTTGTGTGTGTGTCAGCATACCCCTCCCCTATGGCTGTCAACTCAGGATAGGTATTCACTGACAACAGAAAGATGACCTATTGTACATGGTCATTTTTTTTTCCTTTTAAACACTAGAAATGGCAAACACATTGAAAAGACTTGTAGGTTAAAATGTGTTTTTCACTTTAAGTATCACTATTCCACAATACTGTGAAATATGTGAATTTTATGTAATCACCTAATCTCAATTAAAAAAATTTTTTAAAGACTTGTAGGTAAAGAAACACACATTCCAGTTAACACGTGAGTATGAAAATACCAGTGAATAATAGAATTGTTAAGTCAAAATGGTTCTGTTCATCCTGATTGCAATTCCTACCTAGTTAATGTTATATACAGTTCACTATTTGATATAAATGAAAATAATCAGAATACTGCTGGCCGATCTCTTTTACTTGACATAATGCTAAAAATGTATATATGCCATTGCAGATAGAGTGTCAAATGACACTTCTATTTTTGGATTTTTTTTAATTGCATTTTGGACTTGACCCTAAGCTGTATATAAGCCAGCCATGTGAGAATTGTGTGAAGAGTAAATCTGCTTCTCTAACCTTTCATTGCAAGACAGGGGGTGCTGTCACTTCATTTATTGTGTAGTAAGGGTGTGGAAGAAAAGTAAAATGGTATTGAACTCTTAGCTTTGAAGGAAAATTTGCCCTTGATCCATATTACATCATGATGGGCTTTGTCTCAATTTGAAAAAGGAAGAAATGAAAACTATTTTGTGTACATAAGAATCATTCATTTAAATTATTAATAGGCAATACTTCAGATTTTTGAGGAAGTAAAAGATGCAGAATTACTTAACTTTATTCTAGTCCTAAAATCAATGTGGATTAAAACAATGAGCAGTTGCCCAGCGGGAAACAGCTAAAAGTTTAGCCATAATGAAATCATGAGGTGATTAGGATCTGCACTATGTCTGTGACTTCAAAGAAGAAAGAAAAGGAGGTGTGTACAGCACACCAGGATGCTGTGGGAAATTGTGAAATCAGCAGTGTGGGTGTGTTACATCACATATTGCAGCAACCAATGATGTGATTTCCCTCTTGGCTCACATTGGCCAATACTAAAAGGAGTAAAATTTCTAGTGAGCTACATATAGCGAGGGGTGTATTTCAAAAGACATTTGTACTTTTTATAAATGGAATAAAGCAGTAGCCTTTCAATAAAATCATTTTACATAATTTGTTTTCATAGTGTTGCCAGTGACGTTCAAAGGAGGTAGCAGGCATAGTTGGAAAGAAAAGTGACTTATCTAGGTTTCTAATACTGAGGATGTCATGTAATTGAAATTATAGTATATAAATGAACTTTGGAAAAGTGGTTATTAGCCTTTCTTAATAAGTCTTTTGTTTCTTTGAGGATATCATATAAACTTATTTTTCCATTCATTAACATTTCGTTGTGGTTTTTATAAAAACATTCAAGCCAGCCTGGAGCCAGTGGTTCATCGCTGTAATCCCAGCTGAGATCTGAGCATCACGGCTCAAAGCCAGCCCAGACAAGAAAGTTTGAGACACTCTTTTCTACCATTAACCATCAAAAAGCTGGAAGTGAGACTGACTCAAGTGATAGAATGCTAGCTTTGAGGGTAAAATGGCATGGATAGCACCCAGGCCCTGAATTCAAGCCCCAGGACCAGCAAACACAAAAAAAAGTCCAAGCCAACTTGAACTATTCCTAAAATAGAGAATATCGTGTAAACCTCTTGATTTAAACTCTTATATAAATGACTGTCACTATTATTCGTTATATCAGTTGTCTTTTTCTCATCTAAAATTATGTTTTTTTACTTTCTCAACTCAAACTTGCCAAAATTATTTCTTTTATCTTGAAAGTACAGTTTAAAAAAAAACTGGCTGGTATCGATATGCATTATTCATAGTACTTTGTAAAGCATGAAATTCCATGTGAATGTAGGATATTATTTTGCTTGTACCTGGTTTAGACTCAGGATCTTGTGTTTATTCAGTTTGCCTGCTAGGCTGGCATTGTACCACTTGAGCCATACCTCCAGCATGGCATTTTTCTGTTTATTTTCTGCCCCTGCCTGGGTTGGAATTGCCAGTAATGTAAGATCCTAAGTTAGTAACCATGCTAAATATGCAGAATGATGTGTGGAATATAGGAAGTTAGCTACTAGTACTGTGTTGCAGTAAATCTACCATATTTGCAGATTTCTTACATGCAGTCTTAATCAAAGGTAGTCAGATTTCAAAAACAAAAATTTTAGATTCTGGGCACATAATACGTAGCTCAGAGAAGCTCTGCCTTGTATTCTTGTCAGTTGTATTTAAATAGTGGTTTGATCTACTGTCTCCCTACCCATGTTTTGTGTCTCCCTACCCAGTTTTGTACTGCAAATACTGTATTTGTTTTTCCCATAATGACATCTAATTTCTGCTTGCGACATACTGCCCTGTAACAAATCTAAAACTTTTATTTTAACACTGGTTAAGTACATTCACTTATGTTTGCTTTGGAAGCTCCATTTGCACTGATTTGTTAGAAAATTCTGGAGTATAGACTAGCATATTCAGAATACTTTTTATGAGTTGGGCGTGCTGCTCCTTGTCAAAGTGGAGACAACTTCCCAGTAGCATCTCCAACAAGAAATGCACAGAAGTAAGTCTGACTAAAGCCACCATGACCTTATGTTTGCTTTCCTCCACCTTCTGTATAAATAAATGTTCCATTTCTATAACCTTTCAATTCATGAAAGTGAGGTTGCTTGTAGATTAATAAGTGTCAAACCAAAAAAACACCACCTCCAGGTTCTTATTTTGAGATCAAGTTACTGAGAGGTAGCCAAAGAAGTTTTTGAGTTTGTGTGTGTGTGTGTGTATGTGTGTGTGTGTGTTGTTTATTTTTGTTGTTTTTCCATTTTGTTCTAGAATCAAGTTGCAGAAAAAGAAATGAAAAAGTAAGGCATCATAATTGTCTTTGTGGTTGAAAGTATGTTCTTGCTGTACATATAACTAGCTGCTTGATAGATAGAAATATCTCCTGGGTTTTTCCCAAGTTGTTTTGCAAGTTTCTTGGTATGTTTCTGTGTAACTTTTCTAGCCCTTGTCTTTAATACTCAGTGACCTGTGGTAAAACTCTCCTCCAGGCCTCAGGTTGACCTTTGTCAAATGCATTGCTTTTTGGGGGTCTAGGGGATTCTCAGTGAACATGCTGATAAAAGTATGTGTCATGATATGATATGCATTTTTCCTTTTTTTTTTTTTTTTTGCCCGTCCTGGGGCTTGAACTCAGGGCCTAGGCACTGTCCCTGAGCTTGTTTTTCTCAAAGCTAGCACTCTACCACTTGAGCCACAGCGCCACTTCTATGTATGTGGTACTGAGTTATCGAACCCAGGACTTCATGCATGTGAGGCAAGCACTCTACCACGAAGCCACATTCCCAGATGGATGTGTTTATTTTTTAAGTTGCTAGCATTGGCTCTTTCGCTACTTTGGAGATCAGAGACGTTTTCATGTATGTATGTATGTATATGTAAATACTTTGCAGTACTATAAATGAGAAGACATTCAGAAGCATCTTACCTGAAAACTTCTTTGTGGTGCAGTTCCCAAGGCTTGAACTCAAGGCATCATACTTTCAGCTCTTTTGCTGACACCTGGCACTAGCACTTGAATCTTATCTCCAGTCCAGTATTTGACTGGCTAGTTGGAACCTGAGTCTCATGCTTTTCTGCCTTGCTAGCTTTGTACCTCCTGAATAGCTGG